TGCATGGTATAGATATGTCAGTCGAGTAATTCAAATATTCCTCCTAGATGGCTTGCCTTCAAGTCTACTTGGGTTATTTGATTGTGCATAGTGATATACCTGTAACTTAACCTAATCAGTGGTTAGATGGGATTTATACATCATACCTACCGGTTGACTTTCCAGTGAAATGGGGGTTAATTATTGTACAGTGGCATTTCCAATACTTAGCCAATATACTGTATATGGAATCCCCGATCTGGAGGGTATCTTTTAATTATTGCATTTCCAGTATCTTTTAATTATTGTAGTTTTAAATTAGTTTATTTTAATTGTTCTAAGCTCACACCACCAGCTATTTTATTTCAATGTATAAACGTAACAGTTTCACTGTTTTCATTTTGATTTCCACTATCAATTCCCTATGGGATCAACCTCAGACTTAAACTGAGTAATATATTTCAATTTAACCACTTATACTTGGGTGTAATACCACTATTTAGATCAAAAGTGAGTCACATAGCCATGATGGCTCTTTCTGCCATCTAGGCACAATTTGCCACTAAGGCCACACAATCACCACTAACGCCATAAATTCGCCAATAAGGCCAAACAATTACCCTACGTGGGATATATTAGCCAATAGGCTCTTTGTATATCAATAAAGCTTTAAGCCTTCACATATTCATTGACAATCAATAACTCACCACAAATCAATACCAATAATTGATATTACCTATAGCGACTAAATTCAACACTTTTGGTATGACGCCCCTAAAACTGGGGTACTTTGTCAACCCGTTGATCACCCATTAACCCCACGAAAATACATATGAATGCTGCCTAACCCGACACCATGTCACAACATCCCCTTCATCGGGAACATTACCAACACCTAGTTCGGACAGACTCCCCCTTGTACCGGGCACTCCCAAACGCATAACCTGTGTACAATTCAATAATTTGATCATTTCAAAGTCCAATATACATCAATTTACCCTTAATATTGCTCTATATACCTCCTTTGAGCAAAAGGACTCAAGGCCTAGAGGTTTAGCAAAAGCATTTTAATTTTCTAAAAATTGAAGAAGACCTGTTGGTAGAAGAGCTCACTGGAATACTTCTACCACTAGAAGATCATTGTTCTACCGGTAGAAGAGCTCTCCGGAATTCTTCTACTGATAGATAATCAACGTTCTACGGGTAGAAGAGCTCACTAGAAATTTTCTACCAGTAGGAATCATCCCAGTTTTTCCCCGATTCAAATACTTTTTCAATTCCAACTCTTTTAATCTCATACAACATCCACCCAAACTCATAATATACAATTTTACACAAAATATAGTTCATATAAGTTTTTTTTATAGTCCTTTGCACAATATTACATGTCCAAAAAAATTTACACATGTTTTACAAAAATGCAATTTAAAGCCACATTTTGGCTTTCCATCATCAATGAGAGCCCAAGTGAGAGTCGTCCACTGGCACTTGCCTCACACCAGAAATGTTGTCCCCATAAATTGTGAGCCACACTCAATAGGGTATTTGCTAAAGAGGCTACCCCCCGAACCTAAATGTATAAGAAATGCTCACATGCAATTCAACAATCAACAAACACTCCAATTAAAAATATGCATTTCATAATGGAATTCTTTATAACATGTCATGTTATGAGATGAGACCCACACATGCAACGCAGTTCAATCCTTCACCGGCTCCCATAACACATGCACCATATAACACTTCATTTTACCTATGAACTTTAGCTTGGTGGAAATGAAATTCTTTTCCATGTGATGATTAAACCAAAAAAAAGTAACACGTTCTTTTTCTTTACAAATGTCAAGATTTGATTGTCCATTGTAGCAATAACATACAAAATCTTCCAAATTACATGCAAAATTCTAATATATTTCTATAAAAATATTATCAAGCAGGAAAGGGTAGGGTCAAACCATGCCATTTTTCACCTTAGCTCAGACTCATTAAGAACTTGACTAGGGCAAAATTACTGCCCAATGCCCAATGCCCAATCCCTCTAGCTTGGGTCCTAGATCTACAAGGCTGGGTTGGGTGGGTTGGATGGCCTGCCCAAGCCATGGACACCTTAGCTATGCAGGAGAGAAAGACATATTGAGAGGAACCAATACTGTTAAAAGATTAGAAAGAATTGGAAATTTAGTAGTTTGAGATAAGTTTTAGAATTTATATTCAGTGAGGTGTTCTGCACTAACTAATAAGTAGTGCCCCCAACTTAAAATTTTGGCATTTTTTAAGTGAAACCTAATTGTCTAATTGTAAAATCCGGTAAATTTAAATTTTTTACAAAAAGAGCCAAACGATAATTTGTCACTACAATACGGGTTGAAAATTTGAATTTTTCTAGTTCACGGATGATGAGACGGACCTCACCGTTGGATTTTTCTCGTGAAATCTAGTTATCCAGTCAAATTTTATCGAATTTTAAAATAGTCAAATTTTTTATGTTTTACGAGATAGTTGAGTCTTGAATGACCCAAAAATGGAATTTTTGAAAAAATTTTAAAATTTGGGAAATAATTAAATTAAATTTAAAATAAAAATATTTTGAACTTGAACCGGGACAAAATTTAATCGTTTCGGGGTGAAAATAGATCCGGGAAAATAGGGCTATGTGGCGTATTGTGGGCCAATTATTGTGAGATATAAATAGGGGAAAAAATCTAAATTTCTGCCCCACAAACACACTCAATAGTTACCCGATAGAGAGAAGAGGAAAAAGAGAGCTTCTCCACCTTCTCTCTACGATCTACGACTCCACGGTGCTCGTATCCACTCAGGCCAAGAAGGAAAGTTGTTCTCCTCGACGTGGGCCACAAAACCATACCAAGGAGGGCGATTTTGGGCGAGATTCCAAGGATGAGATTTTTGGGAGGAGAAGATTCTAGCTTGAATCGGGTTCTTGGAGCTTCCCAATGTGTTCTTTACGTTTCAAGAGGTAGGGTTCCTTCCTACTTGAGTTTATTTTACAACTTAGGGTGTTGTATGTAATGGGTAGGTTGATAGAGATATATATCACTTGCCTATGGATGTAGAATTGATGGAAATTGATGAAATGGGTATGGAAAAGGTTTAACAAATGAATTCCTACCTTGGAATTGATATATGTGATGATTGCATGTGTAATTCCATGGAAATTTGGTACCTTGGGGTTATGTGAATTTGCCCTAAAATGATTCATGAAAAAAAAATTGTATTATGTGGGCATGCCATGTGTTTGATTTATGCTTTGGAAGTTAAATGTGTTATTGACATATATGAAATAACATGCTTATGGATTATGGTTGGATATGAACATGTTGATATATACTCTTTGATATATTAACATTGAGATAAAATTTGGCTATTATATGCATATGATATGAGTAGCCATGAATTATGAAAATATATGTTAAAGTTGCTCATATGACATTCATTACATGTGGGCATGATATGGAAATAGCAATGATGCGTTACATTGCATCTGCACAGAGACATCGCATTGTATGGGTGTGATTGCATGGTTGGCATCAAACACCATTTAGGTGGATGATGGGTGGGCTTGGAAAAGTTGGGTTGAATATCCGGCTGAGTTGCATGGTTGCATGAAATGAATTGGGTCGGGGTAGCAAGAAGGGCTAGACTATCCCTTAGGTGAGATACCCAGTACTTCGGATACGCACTTCCGTTAGTAAAAGAGCCCATAAAGTGTGTCGGTGTACGCGGAACCATTGGTGGAAGTCCATGAATTCCGTGTCGGTTAAGTGACCGTTGGTGTAAGTCCATAAATACCCACCCCAAGAAAGACCCAAAAAATTTTAAAATGGTCATTGGATGAGTGAAACCAATGGCGGGGGTTGGAGAGCCCAGTCTTAATACTCATGGCATTGCTTGGGGGAAAGGAGCTGGTGAGAGCTCGGGCTGAGTTGCATGAGTGGGTATCATCTCATATCATGGCATGACATGTTAGTTTCCAACATAGATTGATTAGTCTTGATTGGAACAGTTGTTGTTTATGAAATGCTGCATGTGAACATTGCATATGCACTTAGGTTGGGAGTAGCCCCTGTAGGAAATACTCTATTGGGCGTAGCTCACCCTATACAGAAAAATATTTCAGGTGCGGGGTACATTCTGGTGGATGACACTCATTCGAGGCCTCGAGGGTGCAGAAGAGCTGGCTTGTGGCTTTTAAAATCAAGTTTTATAAAACTTTTGTTAAAATTCCATTCTGTAGTGTAATCGTATGGATTTGTTGTAACAGAACTTGTGTATGTTAGATTTTTTTTGTGGAAAACATTGTTAAACATGTTTAAGATGGAATTGTGGTGGTTTGGAATGGGTTGGAAATGAAGAAGGAAGGAAGAAATTGTAGAAAAACAGGTAAAACCTTCCGGAAGGTCGATGTAAATTTTAGCCAAGCAGGCAAAACCTTTTGGAAGGTTGAAGAAAACCTTCAAGAAGGTTAATGTAAATTGTTATCCAGTAGGAAAAACCTTCCGGAAGGTCTATGAAAACCTTCCGAAAGAACTTTTCCAGTAAATAAAACCTTTCGGAAGGTTTTTCAAAAATTTGAAATTTTAAGAATACTTTACCATGATTTTGGGCTATGTGTTCCCTCATTCAAATGATGTCAATGGACCATAATGGAATATAAATTGTGATGTGTTAGACCTTGGATGAGTTTAGTGACTATGATGTACACAGATTAAGTAATTGGGAGTTCCCGGTCCAAGGGAGACCCTGTCCAAACCTTTTTATTATTGAATCGTGGTGTCGGGTCATGCAGCATTCACGGGTATTTTCGCGGGTTGATGGGCGATCAACGGGTTAACAAAGCACCCCCAGATTTTGGGGTGTCCCACTAACTGATATAGGTTGTGTGTATCACATTTAATTTTTGTCAAAGGGCTGAACACAGTACATTGAAAAATCACTTAGTAAATTAGTTTCATGCCTTTAATTGCGTTAACAAACACTCGTACCTATTTATGACCTGTCATTCAAGTTTTGGGATGTTTGCTGACAGTAGGTTCCCAAAGAAACATGGTGAAGTCATCAGACCTTGAAACCAATATTTCAAGGGCATTGCCCTTCATCTTTTTATACCGCTCCAAAACATTCTGATTCAATAGTGAAAGGAAGGAGGTTGTTTGTACATAAAAGAAAAAGGAAAAATAAAATGCAAAAATATGAAGTAAATGCACCTAAAAAAACATACAAATTATGGCAAAAAAATTTGATTTGCAAGAAGGCTTGAATTTGCCCATTTTGGTAACATACAACTTCATAACAGGTTTTCTCTGATGTTAAAGATAAAAAACAATTACCTCTTTCATCTCATCCGGAGATGAATGTTGTTTACCGGTATGATCAAAAGCACCAACCCGAAGAACATATTCTGTACTCAATGCCAGGGAATTAACCCAATGTCCATGGCCCTTTAAAAAATAAATCAGAGAAAGTGGTTAAGCAAGAAGTTGAAGATTAAAGAAGAAACAATTGCATCAAGAGTAAAAGTAGCATATGAACCAAAATCCTTCAACAGAGACGCAATTAGGAATAGAACCATCACCTTCAATAAGAATATGAAAGCGAGAAATATGTAACGGGTATGGGCCATTAATAAAATAATTGAAGTAGAATACAAGAGGATCATTTCCCACAATAATTGGTAAACTCTTCAGGACCACCACTTCATTCTAGAAAAAGAAAGGATCTTCAGTAACTCAAAAACATTTTTCACTTTGCCAATTTATTTTTGGGCACTACTGAAATCTGATGAAACCTCGAACATAACAGATGTGCCCCAAGACCAGTCAAACAAATAAGCATCAAAGATGATTAGCATGCAAGAAACAGTAAGGGGTTTGACATGGCCCATGACTTATATCAGTCAGGTGTGCTTTGGTTAGCATTCTAGTATACGGGTTGGTTGGATGATCAGGCACTATTCAATGATTTGTCAAAGCACCAACATAATAGAAGCAGACACAGAATGTCCAGAGTGTTCAACAATTTGGTCCAACATTAAGCCCCCAAAAGCACGAATAACATTTTCATAGAATTTCCAACTAGTATTGGATGCCAAGGGAATGCAGTGAACTTACCAAGGGAATTTGCATAAATGATTGATGCTAGAAAGCATAGGGCAGTTTATCCTCCTGAACAAACCACAAAACCAAAGTTTTTAGTAATTAGCTTATGTAAATGCAATACAATTCACACAAAACTCTCTCTCTCTCTCTCAACAAGACATGAACAAATATCCCATGCATATTGGCTTTTCTTTTTTTTTCCTTTTTTTTTTGGTTTGTAACATGTATTGGCGGCAATTATGCTCTCATTCTTGCTTTGTACCTCAATTTTTTACTGACTCTTGTGTCTCAAAAGTTTCTAATTTGTCTTCAAACTGGTTTCTTTGACTTTCATCAAAATAATTAGTAGAATGGGACAGCTCAAAGCCAACCCCCTCCCTTTAATTCGTTGAAAAAATTTGAATAATTTGCATAAAAGGTGAAGGACCAAAGTGAGACCGAGCACACTCATAAGCACCCACCACTGAATTTTACCTATTTTTATAACTAAAGGGTCAAATCAATTTCCAATGGAAGAATTGTGAATCCATAAAAAAAAAAGGATTTCTCTGTAATTAGGCGATCAAATTCCAAAAGAGAAAGCAAAAACATAAACATTTGCTCTAAAAAACAACAAAAATACTTCTGATTAAGTTAATATGTTCATAAAATTGGTTTTGAAAAAAGGTATTTACATTGTTGAGAAGCTTATTGACAATTTGTTGGAGCTCTTTGGGACCAGCTTTCTGTGGTAAGTACAAAGGAGCTCCCAACAGAGTCCCCTCGGGGTCCGTCAACTGTGACATCAACCTGTTGTTCAATTCTCTCTGTCCTTCGACTCCTACTTTGAGTTCCATTATTGCCAGAAGAGAGAGAAAAGACACCGCTTGGTTGAACCTGGTGCAGAAATGGAGGTGGACGGACGATAAAGGGTTTAGGGTTTTGGTGGGTTTTTAAGTTTCGACGATGGTGGTGGTGGTGATTTTGTGGAGCGTTGGAGCAATAAACTTTCGTGGACCTACTATGTGGCATTACGTTTTGTTGGTTTTATAATGTTTCTGACATTTTTGCACTTTATACCCATAAAGATTTCAAGTTTCCCACTTTATACCTTTTAAAATTAAATTTCTCATAGTATACCATCAATGTATCAAAAGTGTTGCAATATGACCCTTCTATTAGCTTTCATTATTTTTTCCGTCAAAAACCAACCCATTAACTGTTGGTTGTGGTATTCCAAATATAGTAAAATCACTTATTGAAATTTCTGATTTGAAACATGTAATGCATAACAAAACAGTAACAAGGTAGATCGAAACAGTTACACGTCACTGTTTGTCAAGCCAATATAAAATATTAACCTGTTTGCAGAACATAATTTGAAGTAGATCAAGGCTAGTGTTTGACATTATGTCTTTTGTAGACACGATGTGCCCAAGAACAATCTCTTGGGTCACCATGAAGTGGCATTTCTCCCAATTGAGCACCAAATTGTTCTCTTCACATCTTTCTAGCACTCTCTCCAGATTTTCCAAACACTCTTAGAATGAGTCCCTAAATACGGAAAAGTCATCCATGAACACATACACAATTTTCTCCACCATATCGCTAAAGATTGCCATCATGCATCTCTAAAAGGTCCTCGGGGCATTGCACAACCCGAATGTCATTCGGCGATAGGTGAAGGTAACAAAGGGGCACGTGAATGTTGTCTTCTCTTGGTCCTCCAAAACAATCTCTATTTGGTTGTAGCCATCCAAAAAGCAATAAAAAAGATGTTCGGCTACTCTCTCCAACACTTGGTCAAGGAATGGCAAAGGGAAATGATCATTTCTTGTGCATGAGTTGAGGTTTCGATAGTCGATACAAACTCTCCAACCGGTGACCACCCTTATCGGATCAACTCATTCTCCTCATTTGCTACCACCGTAACCCCCGACTTCTTTGCCACAACTTGAGTTGGAATAACCCATTTACTCTAGGCAATTGCAAAGATAATGCCCATATCAAGTAGTTTGAGCACCTCATCCCTCACCACGTCCTTCATGATAGGATTTAGCCTCCTTTGTTGTTGTCGGGATGGTTTGGAGTCTTCCTCTAGGTAGATTTAGTGTCTGCAAATGAGGGGGATAATCCCTTTGATATCGGCAATTGTCCAACCAATTGCTCCTTTAAATCTTAGGTAGCCTCTCACTCTTTCTAAAAACGTGTCCAAAAACTGAAAAATGGTGTAAGAGTTCTTTAATTTTCGTCTCCATCCTCTCTCTCTTAGCATGTGTGAACTGAATTGGAATGATTGGAGAGGTTGTCCACTTCAACAAGCAAGTGTAGTCCAAACATGGTCTTCCCATGCTTCTCCAACCACCCCTCTTCTCTCTCTTGCTTTTCCCCTCTCTCTTACTTCAAAACATGTTAGGGTATGGTTTAGAGGACAATAGGTGGGCCCCCGTGGTTGGTGGAGTCGTGTGGGGAAGTGTTTGGGCTTTTTGGGCAAGTTCTACCTATAGGTCTTAGGATTTCTATATGTAGAAAACTTCTAGTAGGGTCTTCTATCGGTAGGTGTTGCATGTTTTCTACCCGTAGGTCTTGCATGTCTTCTACCCATAGGTCTGTTCGTAAATTTGTCGTAACTTTTGATCCTACTATCCGATTGAGCTAAAATTTTGACATAAGATAGAGAATGTCTTGGTCTACAACTTTTATGTTTTGAAATTTCTTAGATTCGAAGTGGATCATTGTACAAAATGGGGAAAACCAAGGTACCGATACCTCCATTTTTTTACTTTTAAGCCTCCAAATCCTCATGTAATGTATCCATCTCTTCGCCACTCATCCACACTTAGTTGCAGGATTCTGAAAGCCATCAATTACTCTATGATTACCGGCAACATCAAAATTTTCACATTATTCACAAATTCGACAAACTCTAAGTAATTAAATTTAAAGTGGAGTTAAAATGCATGTAATGAGGCCATTAAATATGCAATATTATGCGCTCATCACACCCCCAACTTAAGCTTTGCTAGCCCCTTGCAAATTAAATGTAAAAATTAGGCAAACAAACATAAACCTATACTAATTCCGTTATTGCATTTAGCATATGCAACAAGTCTTTAAACCCCTGGGTGATCCCTAGTGGACGAGTTTTGTCTTGTGAAGGATTACAGTGAAGGTACCTTCAAACTTATTTTTCTCATGTCCAACATTTGAAACATATGCCCTTATCCAAACGAGCACTGAGATTCAAAAACAACTTTGTCCGATGCACCCGAACTAATCACACATGAATCACATCATAGCCTTAAATGTTATTCTAGAGTATCCACCAACACATTTCCTTTCAAAACTTGAGTGTGTGTGAAATGAATATGTAATTTAAACCTTTACTCAACAAAATTCACATTCATTTAGCTATCCAAATTCAGCTTTAATGCAATTATCACCAAGGGTTTGTGTCAAAAATGAATAACTCTATGATTATCCTAGTATACTCTCCATGTGTAGATGTGAGATAGAATATTGTACACAAACCAAAATTCTCACATATAATCCAAAAATGATGTGCAAGCATACCAATTGAAACAACCTTGGCATAATCTCATGAATGGAATGTTAGGGCACTAGATAGCAAAACCAACTTTTCTTTTCATTTAAACTATGCTCTCACCATGCTTTCTCTAGATCATTAAGGGCTTTCATGGGTTGTAATGAGACTTGGGGTGATATTTAGGGTAAGTGAAATGAAGGGTAGAGGGAGACAAAAAGGGTTATTCCGTGGCCATGACCTTTATTATCAAAATCTACTTTTTGTATAATTCTCAACTTTACACCTTCACGTCACTTTAATGTCTCTTTTTTTCTTCTTTCCTAACAACGTTTTTTCTTCTCTTTTTCTTTTCTTGTTTAACCTCCTTTTCTCATTTTTCTTGGATTCTTCTCTTCTTTTTCATTCAATGTCATTCATCCCTTTTTTGGGTTTCCTCACCACATTTTCCTTTCTTCATGATTAATCACAGTTAGTCTCAGAACAACAAACGTATGGTAATTGTAATCATTTGGCACTATCTTGGTAAAACATGTGGCATGGAAACGAATTTTCAATTAAGGCTCAATCATGGCACAAGGGATAAATTTTTCACAAGAAAAAACCAAGGCTCAATGCAATTCAAAGATGACCTAAGATCATCTCTAGATAAGCATGGGGAGACATACTGCATTTTAAGACAAATTTAATCAACTATCCATATGCACTCTAACCAAAGCAAACATAATGCGATTATTAAACAAATTTTTGAATTTGAAAAATTTTTCCTTTGAGTAAATATAAGTTCCCTCCAACAATGATTGGCACTAAAGCTCACATGGATACTTACTTCTTCTCCACTTCTTATGTCAAGCTCTAAAATGTAGATCAAATCAATAAATTGTCGAAATAACACATTCAAGGTGCACTATGGTTAAATTTGAAAGAAAATACATATGTGATATTCAAGCATAGGATCAACGTCTATGGTGTACTCATGTGTTCAAAGTTAAAATGAAGATCAATCAATCACAAATCCCATAACAATTAGGATAGGGGAATATAGTTCAATATTAGATACTTTCAACAAAAAAAATGTCCAAAATTTTCAAAATTTTCATATTTCCAAATATTCTGTACAAAAAGTGGTGGAACATATAAATGGTGCACCTCACCCCCCAACTTGAGCCATGCATTGTCCTTAATGCACAAGGATTCATGCAATGAGAAAACCAAAAATAACATGGGAAATAAGATACTCTTTTTTTTTCCTTCCTTTTTCTTATAATATATGTTAAAGGGAAAATGAAACACAAAAAGCTTGTTTACACCCCCCAACTTAGACTCGTATATGATATTAAATAAGATTTTCTACGATGATGCTCAAAATGAATTGAGTCCAAATTAGGGAGAGGTAACCAACTTCATGTTAAAATCTATTGTACAACATCATAAAAAATAAAATATAACAATAAAAGAAATCTAACTACTATGTACATGAAAACAAAACAAAAAGGACTCATGTCAATCTAGCTTCAATTCGTATATGAGCTAGCGCCCATTGATTTTTTTAATATTCAAATTTTTTTGGAGTGTAAATGTCTTTCCTAACCAATCTATTCAACAATACAAAAGATAATGATTCAAAATTCTCAACAAAATAGAGGTGCACACAAGTTTATGTAATTCCAACAATGGAGTATACAATTTCTTTTTATAAATTTCTACACTTAACTCCATTTTAATGCCCTCCCCATTTTAAAAATTGTGAAACTCAACACCAATCTTTGATGATAAATTGACCTTGGGCTTCTTAGCCTCATGTGAGATAAGAATTTCATTAAAATTTTCACAATCAAGAGTAGTGGTGTAAAACTCAGGTAAATTTAAACCTTTTCGAAAAAAGGGTAAAATGGTAATTTATTACTATTATGCGGATGGAGCAACGAACTTCACCTTTGGATTCGTTTCGTGAAATTGAGTTATCACGTCAAATTTCATCTAATTTCAACATAGTCGAATTTTGCACATTTTTCAAGATAATTGGGTGACGAATGAACTTTTGAACGTCCCCAAAAATAAAAATTATAAAATTTCTTTATAATTAGATAAAATTTCAAATAAAATTAATTTAAACTAAAATTAGAATTTAATTAAGTCGTTTCGAGTTAAAAAAGAACCCATAAGTGATAAGCGTGTAGAAAAATATGGACCGCGCAATTTAAAAGTATAAATAGGGGATTAAATATGTGAAAATCAGATATTCTCCCCACTTTTTCAGCACACCACACGTTGGAAGAGAGAAAAGAGAGAAAAGAGGGAAAAATCAAGATTTCTAGCTTTCTCCTTTGATTCTCGGAGTTCCGTCGATCGG